AACCAACCCAAAGCGATATCGACGAAGGTGCTCATTTCAGTGGAAGGGTGACGTTTCAAGAGCGGTGCCAGGAAGATGGACACTTTGTTGACTTTTTAAGCATTTTTCAAGTTGATATTGAGGATAAATTACCGCTCCTACGCGAAAAAATCGAAAGCTTTGGCTATATAAGTGGGCGGCTTTTTAGGGAATTTTTCGAAAGCGGTTTGTGCTTTGAAGAGTTAAAATCGGCAGCGGTTAAAGCAAAAATACCTGCTGAAGATTTGATGGTTTTGGCGCTACACTTTTGGATGGAGAAGCCATTCCGATATCAAAACTGGTTAGTACAGCTAGAAGGCAGGTTTGATATTATTAAACTTTACAAAACTATTTACTTACTTTTCAGTGACGAAGTTATTGCTGATATGTCACGGCTGGCAGCTATGATAAAAGCGTTCTGCGAATTAGCAGGCGATCGTGTCAACGACTATGCATACAATGCCATCTCACAATGGTGGCAGGATGTGCGTGAAATACTTTTGGAAAGTCCCAAATCACTTGGCTTACTTGCGGCCATTGTGTGTAAGTCAGTGGCAGCCAAACTTCGACGGGGCTTTAGAGAAGTACAATATACAGTTGTGATATTGAAGTGTTTGATATTTTATTTAATATCTTTTTATTTTTAAAAATTATAAGGGCTCTTGCGACGAGGGTTCGCAGGCAGAGGAAGAAGAAAAGTGGGAACAAATCTCACACGATCAAGCACAATGGGGTTTACTCATCGGCAAATTGGAAGATATTTCAATATTAGGCGCCACTGTAGAGTAAGTGCATAAAATGTATACATATGAAGAGTTTTGTGATGCATACGTAAACTATTGACATAATTTCAGGCATCCAATACAAAGTACTGAACCCGTTATGCCCGAACTGCCATATAAACCACCAGATTGTAGTTTAAAATTTATTGTCAACGGGGGCAAAGGCATTGTCACGGATCTTACTGCCCAATGGTTGATCAACTCACGCATACATCCTTTGAAAATTCTTGAAACCGAAGTAGTACTAGTAGACGAGATTGGTGTGCAAGAGAAAAGTCAGACTCCAACTAATACGAATACAATCGAAGACAAAGAGGAGTTAGCTATTAATGTAGGTGGGGGCGATCAATGCTTGTCAGACAAGAAGGTAGCAGTCGAGTCCACAGATGATCCAGTACTAAAAAAATTGGCACTTCTGCGCGAACATTTTCCATTTAGTTTGGAATCGGGTATGCTGCTCAGTCTTATGTCATGGCAGTATATGGTACATTGGAGTAAAAATTTACCATGCTTGCAATATATGCGCGCTACACTCACATGCATGTCCCACTTCAAGCCGATAGATTATGCGTTGAAGCATGGCATTTGTTGTATGCTTTGGAATGCCACCCTTAAGTATCCACTGCAATCGACTATGAAACTAATACAAAAGGCGGGTCGTTTGCCGAAGGATAAAATGTGCCAACAGGATATCGAAATGTCTGCCGCTTTGGTGCCTGAATTTCTCGAATTAAGTTTACAATTTTTAGAACATTTCAGCAGTTCACTCGACCACAATAGCCGTGAATTGAAGTTCGAGGAGTCGCTGACGGATGGTCAGCTGCCCCTGCAGTATCTTGCGTTGCAACAGCATAATGCTATTGAAGAGTTGTTACAATTGCACTATGAGTTATGCGCTGTATTACATTTGATAGCAGAATTTCAAATTAAAATGCCTAAACCCATTACAAATGTATTCGATGCCTTGGCAAATAAGGCTTTCTTCAGTGATATCAATAAAGAGCTGGCTTTTGAGCTGCCAGAAGCGGATTTGGTGTTGCAACAGCAACGTGAGCATTTCTTATGCAAAGTAATTACTGCCTCAATGGACTTAATACGCGAAGACTTGGAGCAGTTGTACGTGCTAGAGCATGAAGAGTGTATGAAGAAGATTATGGCATTGGCAGAAAGTTGGAAGTTGAAGAAAACGGCGCTTATACGTCAACAAGTTAGTGTTTGGTTTTGCTAAATCACCTGTATAACTTTACAAAAATTTTATTTTATTTTTTTTAAATGCAGGCAGTGGAAATGTACGCGCATGGTTACGACGCTCACGGTGAGCCGCTGTTAAAAGAGTTGCGCGACGATGAACATATTGCACGTTTGCTTCTGGAGGTAGCGGGCCGGCGCCTAAACTTGATTGCGAAGGCATCGCGCGATGCCTACATGAAAATTGCGTCTGTGGGTCATGTGCTTTTGCATTTTCTCGATAGACTGGTATGTGAGACACACTTTTTTATATCCATGCTATTTATATACATTTTTTTTTTTTACTACATAAATAGCGCGATGCACCGAGTGGATACGTTCAAATATCCGCTACTGACGCGGATGAGATTAATATCATTGCATTAAAAAAATTAGTGGCACACTGTTTCCATTTACTCTCGCAGAAAGAGCCAACCAATTATCTACATATTGCCGGCCAAATGTTTGATGCGTGTTCTTTATTACAAGAGTAAGTTCGAGTGTAACATTTACATATGAAAATTATGCACAATTCTTTTTTTTTAACTAACTATATAGCTCATAAGAAATATGCATAATGTTTAATGACTTGTAATGAGTTGAAAATTTTTATTATATAAAGTAAATACAGAATATAGATAATATGCTATCAAAATACAAATGTATGTACATATGTAGTTTCAAATTACTAGAAAATTTGCAAAATTTCCGGAACACCTGTGCGATTATTTGCTGCCATTTCTTTCTTCTAATTTTTTGTCCTTATCCATTATTTAAACTCTTTTGGTTTTTTCTGTCCTGATCCCCACTTCTGTTTCGGATTATAAAACTCCATATAGTCTTCATTGCCTATGCGACGTATTGTCGGCGGTGTGGGTGGCCTTGCAATATCATCGGCTTCGTGTATTTTCAAATGTGTAAAAACCGGTATATACGACAGTGATGTATCCAAATCGATACGCTGTTCGGTAGCACTCTTGCCGGGCAATTCAAAGTATTTACCAAGAATGGGTTCTTTCAAAGGTTTGCCGTACATACGCGCTGTAGCTTCTGCTTCAACGGCTTCATTATCATCCGCTGTCTTCGGATCGTAACGTGCTGGCATTTTATCTTCTTGAACGCCGCTAATCACCTGAATGTGGAAGAATTTCGAATGCATTTGTTGTTTACTAATTGAAATTATTGAAACGATATTTTTGATAAATTTTTCTTTAAATGCAAGCTAAAGAACTTCCAGCGCACCCGGTGGTATAACTTTTGGTAAATTCAAGGAAGTAAAGCGTTGGGTGCCCTTTATTAGACTTCCAGCGCATTTTTCAACTATAAATTGTTTGTGTGGCAAAAGCTCTAAGAACTTTGATGTGACGTTCTAACTTAAAAAGGCGAGGTTGTTGCTGACTACATCAAAGGTTCGACTTGTCAGAGAAGTAGCGCGAAATTTCTACCTAGCTGGGTCAAAAGTATTATCAACAGATTATGAATTGAATAAGAGTGCATAAAGCTTTAGAATCACTTCAATCGCATATTTTTTGTACTCAATGTGCATGAGTAATTAATTTATTACCCATATTTGATATACATATAATATTTTCTCATTGAAGTTTTAATTCAATTTTGTGCCTTTTATTTCCTTTTCCTTAATACATACTTTATTTTGCGCCTTTCCTTTCGAGTTGTTTCCTACTACGCTAATCGTTGTAAGCACAAACCTGACTAACACCACCCTGTAGTATTTGGCATTTCCGTACAGATAGCGGTTTGTACATACACCACGTGGCATCGTACGCTGCCGCGGCCATTTCGAACATGTAAGAAAACTGTCAGTTGTGAAGGTAAAGGCAAATAGCAATTTTTAGTGCATTATTCGTAAATTAATTTTTGCAAATATAAATAAATAAAGTGAGGGCTTACTTCACTTATTAAAAAGTGATAAATAACACAAATACATAAAAGAAGCTAAATGCTAGCAATTGGAATACACGCAGTATCAATTTCGCTAAAATGTGCATTTATGAATAAGCGCGTATTTATAGGTCACCATACGTCTATATAGTCCAAGTGTCGTAAAACGTCGATAAAGTGCAAGTGTACAATAATCGTAAATCTTTAGTTCTCAAAGTATACCCAATAAATGTAAAAAGCCTGAATACTCAAACTAAAAGTCCTTTGATTAGTGCCTAATTTCCAGTTCCGTTCCTTTCGTAGGTGCCTCGGTTTGTTCAATTACATTTTGCAGTGTAGTGTTTTATTTAAAATCGTTTTATTTGATGATTTATTTTTGATTTAATTTATTCAAAGTGCATACGTATGTATGTAAGTGCCTGCTTGTTAATTGATACATATAAAATTCAGCAAAGTGGGATGAAGAACTTTGGAACTTGAAAGTTAGAATATACATACATACATTAAATGGTGAGTGCTTTCTTTTAGAGCTCTCGATTTTGTTCGCACATTTTCAAACAGCCCGGGTATATGAGCAGCTAGTACTCGCACACTTGTTCAATGCTCATTACTCGAAAATTTTCGAGCATGAGCTCGAGCAATTCGAGTTTTTTCGAGTAATTTGAGCAATGTTTTTTTATTATATTGACATTTTTGGTAGCAACTTTTTAAATTTTTCAAATTATTGATATATAATGCAAAGATTGTTACATTGATATTTAATAATATAATTTATTTAACATGAATTAGAAAGCAGCTGCTGACAAATACAATTTACAAATTTTCTTTTGTTTATGAAATTGTTCAAAAACTCGAAAATTTTGAACAAACATTTGAGCAGTTGAGCAATGAACGAGTTTCGAGCGAGTATCGAGCTACTCGCATTGCTCGATACCCGGGTATCTAGAGCTCTACTTTCTTTCAAATACATGTTTTTAAACATCCTATTTTCGCTTTGATTTTGTGCAAACAATTTCGTTCGTCCGATGCATATTGTTAACAAATCCACGAAAGACCCCAGAGAGGGAGGTTTTGCCCACTCTCACCATAGTCGGGTCTACCTAACCAGATCCAGATTCATATCCGGCAAACAACAGTCACTCCAACATCATTCCCTAAAAACTCTTTGGGTGATTTATATGCTTTTAGAACAACAACGCTCCGGTTTTCGATTGCCCATACACTTGTGGTCAGCTGATTAGGTTAAGTGGCATAAGGTGCGCTCGTCTAAAAGTTGAGCAAGAAAATTTACTTGCAAGTTTCATTGCCAATTTGGGTCCATGGTTGCATTACCAACCTAAATATTTTTTTTAGAATGTTTATACCTCTTTCGGGTGGAGGAAAAATAGGACTTTTATGTAGTATATTTCTTATTATTCTGACTTCGAAGGTTGAGGTACTCGCTATCGTCCATCCTTTAACGGGTAACTTTAGCCGTTATCGTTTCGCCACTTTTCTGCTCGCTATGTTTGAGTTCCGGTCGGTTAATAAAAAATAGTCGTCATCGATTCGCCACTTCTCGCTCGTTATGTTTGAGTTCCGGTCGCTTAAAGAAGAATTTTGCATGCGAAAGCAACAACAAAGTTAGCTAGCACGGATAGACGATAGCGAGTTTGGTTGTACCTCATTGAGTTCGTTCGTTTCGCCACTCGCTAACTGATGGCGAATCGATAACGGCTTATGTATATAACCAGCACATTTCTTTTACATATATAAAAGAAAATGCCTAACTCTGTCAGAAAAAAAAATTATCAAAAATTAACGCGATTTTCTAGCATCTATTAAAATTTAATAAGCTATAAAACTGCACACCTAAAATTTTTCTAAAGATTCTGAATAAAAAGTTTACAATTATTGGTGAAATTGCTAACTGGTTAGTTGAATTTTTATATATATATTAAGTTAGAAATGTGGATTTATATGGTGCTTGTTATATAAATTGCAATCCCGTACGAGTCCGAACTAGTCAGAAGTGGTCAGATTTTACTGGAAATCGGGATTACGTTCCCACGACAGTCGAGTCTTCGTAAGCGAAGCGACCCAGATTTATATCTGGTCAAGGACTGTCACTCCAGCAATACTCCCCAAAAACTCTTTGGGGAACTTGTATGCTACAACAACAACAACGGTCTAATTGCTTCTACGACCACTTTGCGTCGGCAAAGCGGCGGGCCGGAAGAATGAACAGCTACTCATAACCATATTTTCGACAAAAACCCTTTTTCGGTCGTTGTTAAGGATATAAATACATATGTATCCATGTGTGCATATGTGTCAAAATTTATGTTTCTACACCCCCCTCGAAATTATCTAAGTAAATTTACCTTCATTGTTGTGGAGCTTGCCACTTTTTTGATGTCGGGCGGCATACGATATCGTTGATCTTCCTCCACTGCTTCGAAGGGTGATAACTTAAGCCAGGGTAAAGGTGTGCCCAAAGTACCAAGATAACGACCGCCAAGTGACCATAAGCGGCAAGAACAATCGTGATTGCCGCTAAATTAGAAAAAGTATTCAATAAAACAGCGATTTTAATACAATTTTAATTACCAAAATAATACACACATACAAAAAAAAAACAATGCATTTACTCACGATATTTCGAATATTTTTGGCGTATTAATGTATACGATGGAATTGATTGCTTTAATATGCGCCTTATATGAACTCAACAGCATAGGCTCCGCTTGATGTCTAATCACTCGTTTGGTGCGCGTCAAGAAGCGCTCCTTGCACAAAAATATAAACTGCAAGCGAAGTAGTGGCATAGAAATGTGCTGCTTCTCCTCCACCGGTATGCTGTGATTAATACAGAAAATAACAAGTTTCTTATTTGGTATGTGGGTGATGCAACAGGTGCCATCATTGTTGTCGCATGCCACATGCGACATGCCAACGAATAATAACCAAATCAAATACCACAAAAGTCGTTAAAACGTCAACAGTTGTTGGCGAATGTTTTTACATTTTGACATGATTGTGAAAAATATAACTACATATGTAAGTGTACATGTATGTAAACATGTTTGTACTAATGTAGCCGCATGTCTTAAGCAATAAATTTGAATATTACATTTATTCGTTGGTACGCCCATCCGCCATTTGCCATTTATTTACTAAATTTCTTTTGCAGCTTAAACGATTCCTTCTCAAATAAAACACGCGAACCTACATAAGTTTACGAAATGATATGTAAATTACCTTTTACTATAGTTTGGTTTACAGACATGTTGTTACATATATATGTATATACATATGTACATACATACCCTACAAGACATTGCTGAGCACTTTAGGCAAAAATTCTCACACATTTACACTTTTGTTTTTGTAGTACGGCATAAATGAGTAGTTTGACTATTAGTACTGAGGACTTTCTGATGACAACATTGAGGGGAAAGTACTCAATTTTTTCCCATGGCCTGAACGAAAATGAGGACTTTGATAAGCACTTTTGTGATTAGGGGTAATGATAATATGAGTACTCATATGATACTCAGCTGTCTTGTAGGGTACATACATACACACTTATTTATTACATAAATAAAACGTAACCCATATTTTCTTCTGTGGCAATTTCATTATTTCAGTCATTGACTCCCACGAAAACTTTATTTAAAAGTGAACATACATACAAACATATACATAAATATGTACATGGAGACACGTACAATTTTCGTGTACACGCTTTCTGGGAAATATTAAAGTTTAAGATCTGCATAAC